GCTCTTCTTCCATGCTCTCTCTTTGATTTTTGTTTGGTGGTTGTAAAGAGGTGAAAATTTTTCAACTCCAATTCACCCCCCTTTTAAAGTACATTGAGCCACACACTCTCTCTAAGAGACTCAGTATTGCTAATTTGAGTGTTGGAGTGTGTTTTCGAAGAAACATCTTTTGATTTTTTAGGTGTTGAAGCAGTTAAAAATCTCTACGGAGTAGGTTTGTGAAGCTGCCCAAGCACCAAGTGTCTTTATATTCAATTAAATTTAATACTTTTTTTAAAATTATTTTACAATGATTAGTTTCACTTTTGTTAAAAAAATTATATTAATTACATGCCAAACCCAAAAAAAAGGGGTTCAAATTATCCATGAAATTCCCACCAGCCGATTTGTGATGATGCAAGTTTACTGCATCTAGGCCTGGTAGGATAAAAAATGAAGATAAAAATGTAAATTTAATCTTTTCCATCCTCACCCATGAGAAGGGGAGGATAATTTTAAGTAAGATTTATTTAATCTATCCTCTAATTAAGGATGAAATTAATATACTTTTTTTGATATTAAGTAGTATATAAAAAATAATAAAAATTAATATTAATTTTATCATTAATGTTACATGTATTATTTTAATTAAATGATTAATTAAAAAAATATTAAATTTTATTTTTTTAATAACAATTAATATTAAAAAGATATTTTTAATCCATCCCCTAAAATATCCCCTAAAATACATAGGAAAACATTTTAAGAAAATGGCCATTGGCATATCCTATTGGGGTGATGTTATTGGGACAACCTTTTTGTCTTTTTTTTTTTTATACAATTTTCATATATCATTAAATAAGTGGATGTATTCAATATTACCGATCTCACATAAATTAAAAAAAATAATAATTTTGTACAAAATGATAGAACAAAATAGTTGTACTAATAGCATTTCCCATCCTACTGGTATCATGAGATTAGTGTGCTTTAGATTGTACCGTCCCAAAATACTAAGAAATGATGAGATTTGCATAGAAGTATATTAAGAATAGAACCAAGACAGAAATGGCTAGAGCTAGAGACATTACTGATCAACAATTTCTTAAGTCATGCTTGTTTTCTTCTTACACAAGTGCAGTGCCAGAACTTCCCTTTTCTTCTGTCCATAAAACTTTGCCAGACGATAGAAACCAACATCTTCAATAACCATGCCTGCAGGCTGCAGGTTCAAGTTACGGTTCTCCGACACATACTTCGGTTTCACCATGTGACATTGAAAGGCACCCTGTAAGGTTTGTTCATACAATTTCAGAGACAGGCAGAGGCAGGCTTCTTCCTTCAGCAAGCCAACGGAACTCAGTAGAATTTGGCTTTGACCTTGCCCCTAAATCCTCCATTGGATATGATTCCATCCCCTCACAGTAATCTAAATCCTATGATTATGAACTTGTTATCACGGATCGAGAATACTTCAAGCGTTTTCTTTTCATTTCCTTAGCTCTAGCTCTTGCTGTCACAGAACTTATACTGCTGGTTCACTTTTTGCGTCACAAGCACCATCACCATGGACCCTCCAAGAATCTCACACTTGCATTGAACCAAGCATTAATCTTCTTTGATGCTCAAAAGTGTAATATTTTTCATCCATCGATCTGCATCTTCTTGTAGGTACATACACACGTACATCTTTTGCACTCAATTAATTGAAAAAAACATTCTTTTTTGCAGCTAGGAATTATCCGAGTAATAGTACGATTAAGTTTCAAGGAAATTCAGGATTGCAAGATGGGGACTCAAGTAAAACTCATGCTGATCTAATGGGTATTTTTTATGATTCTGGCAACAACAATATCACGTTTACTTTCCCCATGGCTTTTACCATCACCCTCTTGGGTTGGTCTGTGATTGAATACCATCAGAAATATTCTGATATAGGTAAGCTTGACCATTTTAAAGATATAATCCAGTGGGGCAGCGACTACTTGCTCAAGGTCTTTGTTCCTCCAAATGCATCATCTGGTGCTCAGGCAACATTGTATTCACAGGCAAGCCATATGTTTATGAATTAGGCATCAGCGTTCTGGTATTTAGTGTTACAGTGGTATAATTTGATAATGATAGTGAGGATATTCTCTGTGATGTTTTGACATCTTAGGTTGGAAGTACCAGAACTGATGTGGATAGCGATATAAAATGCTGGCAAAGGCCTGAGGACATGAGATATAAGAGACCAGTTTCTGTTTGTGATGGCGCAGCTTCAGATTTGGCAGGTGAAACTGTTGCAGCACTGTCAGCAGCTTCGATTGTATTAAAAAAAGACAAGGATTACTCAGAAGGATAAGTCAAGGCAGCACAAGAACTATATGAGGTTGCAACAAGAGAAGATAAGGATCATACACCAGCATTGATGCTTGTGGGGGAGAAGCAAGAAACTTCTATAACTCATCCGTTTATAAAGATGAATTGGTCTGGGGAGGAACTTGGCCATTCTTAGCTACCGGAAACTCTTCTTATCTTCAATATGCAGTCAGAAATTTTGCTGGAGCAGTCGATAGTGAAACTGAATCTGAGAAAGGGATTTTCTATTGGAACAACAAGCTTACTGCTAGTGCGGTAAGTTGAAACTCTTGGGGTGTTTTTGATTCAGTTTACGAATTTGATGCTCAGATGTTCTTTGTAGGTATTGTTAACAAGACTTTGGTTCTTTCATGATCTTGGCTACCCCGATGAAGATGCATTTGGACTATCATCTGATATTACTGACCAAGCCATGTGTTCCTATTTTTAAGAAAAGGTTCAATAGAACAAAAGGTATATGTAAAAGGGTGCCTTGTTTTATCTTTGTTAATTTGGAGTTATCTTATTATATATTTTGCGATCTCATTCATCAAATAATGTACGTGGATTTATCCTCTTAAGGCCTGATTATGGTCAGCCACTCCAGTTTGCTGCAATGGCATCTTTCCATGGTAAATTATATAGTGACTGTCTTCTTCTTATCTAGAGATCTGGTGGAAATTGTAGTGATATTGCCTTCTCTGTGGAAATGCTACAGAGCATTTCCATTTCTCAGGCAAGTCTATACATTGCTAAACAAGAAAAACTAAGTATTCCCTCTATACTAATGGTCTTGTTTCCTCATTTGTTCAGGTTAATTACATACTAGGAGATAATCCAATGAAGATCAGCTACATGGTTGGTTTTGGACCTTTGGTGACCATTTTCCAACCAAAGTTCATCACAGAAGTTCATCAGTGCATTGGGACAGTCAACATTATCCTTGTTCTGGAGATGAATGGTTGCATTCTAAAGACCCAAATCCAAATATCCTAGTGGGAGGATTGGTAGCTGGACCAGACAAATTTGATAATTTCTTTGATGAAAGAGAGAAACCATGGTTCACAGAACCTAGCATAGCAAGCAATTCTGGTCTGGTTGCTGCACTTATAGCACTTCATGATCCTCCTTGTAGTTCTTCTTCTGGTGGCTTTAATTTGGGCATAGACCAGATGGGGATCTTTGAAAGTATTCATTAATTTCTGATCTTTCAAATTAGGAAGATATTGATTCTTAACAAAACATCATGGCAATGACATGAATTTTTTTGGCATAAAAGTTGAAGCTTCTACCCACAATTAGTTTACATGTTTCCTTTGGTTGTTAAAAGGTACATTCAAGCTTTTTGACCATCTGAGTTCTCAGTATTCATTATATTTTCTCTAGTTGACATTAGATAAACATGTGTCTTGTGAGATCAGATTCAGGATTTGACATGATTCATTGTTCTGAGGTTGCAAATTGGTGTAGGAAGAGAGACTAGTTTAAAGATTTCCTATGATATTAGATATTCAGATATTACAGAAAAATTTAATTTGTATCACATCAGATTTTGCTTTCAATGTCAAAGCCACTTATATATTCACATTTGGACTGAAATGAAACCAGAGAAGATTGAGAGCTATGAATAAGGCAAGCTTCATCCAGTTATCTTTGCTTTTGTTTCCATACGTGATCTTCCTTAGATGGGTTTGAACCTTTCCAACTTATAAAATCTCTGCAAATTTAAGTTGAGAAAATTAGTGAACAGAAAATAGAAACATGAAAATGACATTCATTCTCAGTGTGGGGAAACATTCTCACAAGAATAGAGTGGATCTCTTCTAGAATTGGCGCGAGCAATGAAACCAAGGACTCCATATCTTCTTTGAGGGTATCATAGCTTTCATCCTTGTCTTTGAGGAGAGCAATGAAGTTTTTGTTATCCGGTAATAATTTTAGAGTTATCTGTGGACACCATATCAAGTAGCTCAATTAGCAAAGTAAAAGAAAAAAAGAAGAAGAAGAAGAAGAAGAATAGGTGTTTACTTACCCTAAAAGCAGCTGATGAAATCCATCCATGACAAGGTTTCAAAGTGATCTCATAGGATTCTTCAACCACTTTCTCCATGTTTTCCTCAGGATCCTTCATCAATTTTTGTAATAAAGCCACTGAAAAGTCCAATGATCTGGAGAGTGGAAAAAGTTAGTTTCTTTGAATTTCTAGCGTTAACAAATTAGAATTAGTAAGAACAGAGCAAAACAGCTTGTTTCCTATGTCTTGCAATCAGAGATCACATGGTAAAACATTGTAAGAAACCTATACTATATCTGAAGGGTCAATCAGACAACTGGAAATACCAGCAAGAGCTCAGGCAAGTCAGTATCTATTAAATTCAAAGCCTTAATGCCGGGGTTAAGGTCCAAAGTTCAAACCTAATGTCAGCCATAGCAAAGCACTAACTTCTTTACAGACAAAATAATAATCATAATAATAAAAACAGATAGCAAACTAAGATTATTGAAAAAAACCTTTACACCCATAGACATGCTTAATATATTTACCTGGTGAGCCAGAGAAAGGCTTTGCTGCAGCTAGTACCCTTTCTTGAATTTCCTTCAATGTCTTCTGTCTTCAACATCTCCACCAGATTTGAGTACTTTGAAGGGTCAGACTCACAGAGCATCTCCAACCTCTATAACGGAGGAAATGAATAAAATGAAAGTTCCATAAATGGTCTATAATCAAAGAAAATGACAAAACATACATCCATGGACAGAAATGCCCTTAATCAAAGTTGGTTAAAACAGCAAGAGCAAAGCTAGGATTTCAAGGTTGTTGAAAAAGTCATGGGGGTGTTTTTGACATGCCAAAAAACAAGAAGAAAAATGCCTTTGTTATGCTTCGTTGTTTTACTTCTTCACCTCAATGTTTTGATGAATGTCTTGTCTAAGAACAGCCATTGTTGGGCCAATCTTATCTGCAGAAGATCAAAGAAAAACAATTTGCAAAGATGAAGAATGTGTTGGTAACATTCTAAACTTAGAAACACAAATTCAGAATTGATTACAGTAGGAGAAGAAGATGAAACTGACCAAGAACATGAAGCATCACTTGGCAAAGATGAAGAAAAGGCTTGGTGGGTATATGGGCAGATCCAGGATCATCACCAAGCTTAAGTTTGCCAAACATGGAGAGCTCTTCAATAGCACACTTTATCTCTGATCCGTTCTCCATTTCTGGTGTTTTCCTCTTCATTTCAATCTTTACACTTCTCCCTCTAAATTCTTGATCCCATACACTAGCAATTGATAGTTGAGATTAGACCAAGACTAAGAATATTAAGAATTGAGGATTTGATCAAATAATTGTTCCATTGAGAACAGGAAACTGGATATGGAGGAGATCATAGACAGATGTAGTTTCTCTACACTGAACTCCTTTTTTTTTTTTCCTATTTCCCCTGTTGTCACCAAATATTAATGTACATTTATTGTGTATAGCTTTGATAGGGACCTTATTCTGACCTTTTAGTTATCTACATATGAGCTATCTATCCTCTTATTGTTACTTTTTTATTTTACAAAAAAAAAAAATTATCTTTAATATATCCAAGACAAATAGATTAAATATATGAAAATAATTTATATACACTCTAATTTAACACACCCTACAATATCTATCATTTAATCATTAAAATCAACAACTTTTAATTTTTTCAGCTTTTAATTTAAATTTAAAAATAATAATTTTTTAATATATATTATATATAGGATGTGTTGAACCGAAAAGTGAACATATCATTTTTCTTAATGTAAGATCAAAAACCTTAACAAACTTCTTCATGGTCTTAGTCGTTTGATTGCATGGAAATGTTGTGGAGCCTTGAGTTTTAAAGCAATCGTAGATATTCTTTTCCTTGATGGAGAATACTTATCATAAAGTTGGCCATGGTGAAAAGCCTAAGGAACATTCAGATTAGTAGATCTCACATCATCTTGGTATATACACCACATTGATTGAAGCCAAGCACTTTCTTGAAAAGGCTTCCTAAAGAAAGTGATGGAAAATTCCCTGATAGCTTTTTTGGTGCTAATGGGTGGACGTTTGACACACTCCACTTTGCTTGGGGACCTCTGGTAGATCATACTGTCTTGTGGAATTTGCTATCTCAGTCTGAAGAATTATTGCATTCAAATGAAGCACAGGAAAATAGCATCATAACTTTAATTCCTTTTCACTTTCTCTGAGGACCTAAGACCAGAAAAGGAATGAGGGACGAATAGCGTTAACCTTCTTTTTGTATATACTTTTTCTAGATTCATTGAAAATTCTACGAGTTAAAACTAGTTTTTGTTTGGTTTAACTAATTTTACATATAATTTTGGTTAAACCCTTAATTTGATCCCCCAACTATTGTACAAACCTTTATTTTGATTTCTGAATTTAAAAAATCTCTGATTTGATTATTATTGTTTATTAATTTAATCTCAAGTCGATCCTTATGTTAAAATACAGCTAATGTGTTTGTTATTTAATGGTAAAAAATTATTACTTAATGATCAAATATCATGTTGATAACGAGATATGTCATTTGTTCTTGTATGGAAGGATCAATTTGAAGTCAAATTGATAAATAATAAGGATCAAATCAAAAAATTTTTTAGTTTATGGATCAAATTTAGTATCTATATAATAGTTGAGGGACCAAATTAAAAATTTAACTTACTTTTTTTCCTTTAAAAAAAGGTGTTTGTTATATATATATATTATTTTCAAATTGCTACGAAGAAAAATTTGCATTTGGCAATTAAATCTTAATCTCTTTGTGGGTTGAAAAACTTCATGATCTTTTCTTCGGTCTCAACTTTTGGGTTTCACTTATTTTATTTTATTTTATTTTATTTATTTATTTCTTTCTTAATTACATTGTTTTCAGGAGGGAAGGGGCATGCACGCCAACATCATAAGGGCTTGAAGCCACGCACACAAAATAAAATACTGCATAAATTGTAAATGAAGAGACGAAATCTTAAATTGTTTGTTATTATTGAAATGTAGACACAACGGTGATCATTGGTAAGCAAAGGGCCTAATGTTCATATATTGAAGTTTGTATTCAAATTTTATATTGGCTTTCTCATCATCAATGACTTATTAACTGATATCACTACACCCTATCAATAATAATAATAATAAAAATGATATCACTACCCGATTTCATTGATTGATTAATTAATATGGCACTTGACATTAATTAACATAGTTACGGTGGCGCGTGTACCATTTTTTTTTCTTTAAGTTTTACCTAAGTTTAAATTATCTCTAAATTAGTTTTTGAATATCTCAAAAATAATAATTTTTTAGTTAAAATTAAATCTAAAATTGATCTATAAAATAATATTTATTTACTAATATATTTAACCCTTGAGATTGTCATATAATCCTATTGAAAAAGAGAAAAATCTTTAATTATTTGATTAAACTATCTATTTAACATTTACTAACACACAAAAAAAGAAAAAAAAAACCATCTATTTAACTATTCGTATAAAATCCGTCCAAAAATTTGGTGTTATGCAAGCAGCTCTTGGTTCGGCAATGGATATGGTAGTATTGTACACATTTCAAGTTTATTTTTACATCACCATATGAATATATAAC